TTTGAACTCGAGTTTGGGACTAAAACTCGAGTTCAAGTTTCCCCTTCAACTCGAGTTCAGAAACTCGAACTCAAATTAATGAACAGTGTTTTTTCTATTCTTAAAAATGCTATAACTTTTTCGTTTTAATTCTGATTGAGATGCTTTTTTTTTTCTATGCGTTGACAACGAAAAGACGAATAAAACCCCACCCATATACCCTATTAAAATTTTCCATCAATATTGAGGTTTTATTAAAATACTATCTAAATACAAATTCAAGTTTTGACTCACTTAAACACAAACTCAAAAAGATTCTTTTCTCAAACCATAACTCAAATGTACACAACCAAACACAAACTCAAGTTATAACTTCAACTCAAATTATAACTCAAATTCAACTCAAGAATTATACTCAAGTTAAACTCCAAAAGAATTGAGTGTTTAAGTTGAGTTTGAATTATAACTTAAGTTGAAGTTGTAATTTGAGTTTGTGTTTGGTTGTGTACATTTGAATTATGTTTGAGATAAGAATCTTTTTGAGTTTGTGTTTGAGTGAGTCAAAACTTGAATTTGTATTTAAATAGTATTTTAATAAAAACTCAATGCTGATGAAAAATTTTAATAGGGTATATGGGTCGGGTTTTATTCATCTTTTTGTTGTCAACACATAGAAAAAAAATCATCTCAATCAGAATTAAAACGAAAAAGTTATAGCATTTTTAAAAATAGAAAAAATATTGTTCATTAATTTGAGTTCGAGTTTCGGAACTTGAGTTGAAGGGGAAACTTGAACTCGAGTTTTAGTCCCAAACTCGAGTTCAAACTCGAGTTTAAACTCGAGTTCAAACGTAAAATAACATGAACTCAAATAAAGTTGTAACTCGAGTTGCTTTTTTTGAGTTTTTCACTCAAAAACACCTCAACCGAACAGCCCCTAAAAAAATCTTCACGGATAGAATCTTTATTTTCAATCGTTAGTTTAATCTTTTAACGGTCAGATTTACAAGAAGAGTAATTTTAACTGTTATAAATTTTTAATACAGATTTATATAAATCTAACTATTGAAAAATTAATTTAACAGTAAAGAGTAAAATTCTATTAGTGTGTCTTTTTAAAGGGTTTCACCTTAGAGGTTGCCTAATAATAAAAAAAAGGATCAAAATGAATAAATAAATAGTTTTAGAGTATAGAAAAAAAAACTTTTGAGACAAAAATAAAAAATTGTCAAAATGACAAAAATAAAGAAATAATTAGTTTTAAGATAAAAAGAACTAAAATAAAAAAGAAAAAAATAAAATAAAATTTAGAAAAAAAAAGGTAAACATATTAGTAACATAACCTTCATCAAAAGGTCTAAAGGGTAAGTTACATAGTAGTGTCAAAAGAACCGTGATGAGCCGACGCGGCCTTTCTAATCCCAGGCTCGTCACTGGCCAAGTACGGCCCTGTACAGCATAGGGTCGTGCCTGGGTCGGGCCTGAAGGAAGACCCTCAGGTCCCACCCTTTCCCCGGCCCTTGTCCATAAAGGCTTGGGCCGAGCCCAGGGCTGGGCCCAGGCCCTTCACAGGCCAGCCCTAGCCCTTTTCAATCGATTGAAGCTCAACGGTCCAATTTATGGTCGTTGAGCATGCACTGCTCGACCGGATTGCACTTGATTCGCATTTGTTATCATATTTAATGACAAAAAGGAAATATATCATTAGGACTGTTCATAAACCCAAACAACTCGCAAACACAACCCACCCCGCCCCAACCCAAGCCGAAAAAAGCAACCCGCAGCATTATTTTTAAATTTTCGGCCCATTATACCTCTGGCCCGAAGTGTTTGGGGCGGATTTTGGGTTGGGCCCATGACAACCCACAATCTCCAACCCAACCCGCACAACATACCCCCAAGCTTTCGGCCCAAGCCCAACTGCCCAACAGCCCAAGTTCTACCCTAGGCTCGCTGGCATTAGGGCAATCACAATCTCGATCTCCCCTCCCGTGAACCCCATCTGCTTGCCTCTTCCTTTTCAGTTTTCCCTCATTTCACACCTCTCGGTCTCGGCCGCCTCTCCCCTCGCAACTCTCTCCTCATTGCTCAGTCCTCTCAGCTGTCGTCTTGCCCACTTTCTCCGGTGCTCTCTCGCCTCAGGCCCTCAGTGTTCAGTCCTTTCAGCTCTGTGCTCACTGCGCTCTGGCTCTGTGCTCTCATCTCTCGCCTCTAGGCCTCTCTCTCCTCACTTATCTTTTGGTGTTTATTGTAGCTCGAACTCATTTTCCCGGCAAATGATGATATTGATTTCCTTTCTCTTGATGTTATTTTCATAATCAGTGAATTTCTTTGAGTATTTTTGTGTATTTTGAGAATTTTTGTGCTCTCTGTTATGTGAATGGCTGTGTTCTCTGTTATGTGAATAGAGTATTTCATTGCTTTGCGCTCTCTCAGTATTTCCAACCCCAGCGTCTCGTCATTTCTCCACCGAGAGTCTCAGGTAATGGCTTGATCAGAGCCTCTAATTTCCTTTCTCTTGATGCTATTTTGATAATCAGTATCTGCTTTGGCCTTTGAGTATTTCTGAGTATTTTTATGACTATGCTTTGAGTATTTCTGAGTATTCCAAGTATTTTTATGCTCTCTGTTATATGAATGGCTTGTTTTACATTTTCTGTTTAGGATGGACAAGTTCCTATCATCATTTGACAACCACACCCCAACTTCTGAAATTGTAGCATCATCTTCCCCATCCCCTAATCGTACAACAAACCAATCACTTGACTCTGACGTGGTTTTCAAAACACCAGCCCTAGATCACCAAAAAAAAGATGTGATTGATTTAGAATATGAGAATGAGGGGACATATGGTAAGAAAACACCTGTTATGAAATCTGAGGTTTGGGATAAGTTTACTATTAAGAAAGGGGGGAATCCAGGTGATGAAAGAGGGGTGTGTAATTACTGTGGGAAGGACTATGCTTGTAGTTCTAGAACGCATGGGACAAGTAGCATGCTAGTTCATTTAAGAAAGCAACGCAAAAAGAATCCCTTTAGAGTTCAAGATAAGAAGCAGAAATTGTTGAGTTTTCGTGTGAGTAGTGAAAGTGGGAGTGGTTTGTTGGCAATTGGGTATAGTAAAGAAGCTTGTAGGAAAGCTTTAGCTAAGATGGTGATCATGGATGAGCTGCTGTTTATGAGTGTAGAAGGGGATGGGTTTAAACAATTTTGCCAAGTAATGCAGCCCAAATTTATTCCTCCCTCAAGAATAACAGTTGCTAGAGATGTTTTGCAATTGTTTAGTGAGGAAAAGGCTAAATTAAAAGTTGCTTTATGCAAGGATTGTAAGAGGGTGTCCTTTACAACTGATGGTTGGACTTCTTTGCAAAACATACACTATATATGTCTAACTGCCCACTATATTGATTTTGATTGGAAGCTTCAAAAGAGAATTATTAACTTTTGTACCATGCCAAATGGAAAAGGGGAAACCATTAGGAGGTTGATTGAGCAATGTATGCATGGATGAGGGCTTGAAAAGGTGTTCACGGTGACAGTAGATAATGCTGCTGCCAATGATTCAGCCTTGAGTTTTTTCAAACGGAGGGTGAATGGGTGGAAAGGCGCTGTTTTGGACGGTGAATTTCTCCATCAGCGTTGTGTTGCTCACATTGTTAACCTCATTGTAAATGAAGGACTAAAGGAGATACATAGCTTAATAACAGCAATTCGAAATGATGTTAAGTATGTCAAATCTTTTCCTGCAAGGTTACAAAAGTTCGAAGATTGTGTGAAGCAAGAGAAAGTTGAATATAAGGGTTTGTTGGTTTTAGATGTCCCAACTAGGTGGAACTCAACATACATGATGTTAGATGT